TATTTTTTTATATTTTTCACTTTGACAGCTTTTCTGGACTTTTATGAGATTTCTTTTCATTCCAAGACTAGTCTACTGCCAAAGTGCATCTCATTAGAGGAAAGGAAAATAAAGTGTATACTCTTCTCTTACACTTTCTTTCAAGGAAGAAAGAGGCCTTGTTTTGTTCCATGGTGACAGCTGTGAATTAATTTCCATTTCTTCCCAAGATTGTGATATGGATTTCAATTTTGTGTAAACAAAAAAAACCCCAAAAAGTGGAGTGCAGGAGAGACCTGCTGATTTACAGGGTCTGGACAGTTATGGGAAATGGGCAGTAATGTGTGAAACCTTCTACCTCTCTCACTGATTCAAATTCCTTAATTTGGCAGCCCTAGCAAAAAGAGCTGAAACTCCATTCCACATGGCTGGACAGCCACAGCCTAGTTGTCTGTGTTGCCAAGAGTTTCATAAAATAAAAAGAGTAAATTACTGGGCACTGAGGTGATGCTCTGAATTTATTTTTGAGCAAGGCCTCCCTGGTGATCACTAAACTGGAAAAGAAACTTTTATGGTACAAAGAATGTAGACAGGAACAAACACTGGAAACCAGAGGTGGGTTTGTGCAGTTTTTGGACATTTCCACTTTGCTCTCACAGGCATGAAATCTATCCTTAATCACAGACAACCAAGGGAACACCTGAAAAGCAGGGTCTCAAACCACCCTGCAGGGACAGGCTGCCCCAATGGCTGTTTGAGATGCCCCCATTGCAGAGCAGCCCCACTCCTGCAGTGTGGACACCACTGGCATCAGTCCTTGTTTTCCAGGCCTGGCCTCAACCCAGCCCCAGAGTGTTCCTGTGATAAACAGCATGGGGAGCAGCCTCACTACCCTGCAGCCTGTTCAGTTCTCCCAGCAACTGCACCCATCCTACCAGCAGCCCCTCATGCAGCAGGTGCAGAGCCACATCAACCAGAGCCCCTTCATGGCCACCATGGCTCAGATACAGAACCCTCACGGTAAGAACATGAACTCATTTGCTCAAGTAAGCAAAAATAAAGGCACTGTTCCTTCAGTGCATTTGCTGGGTCCTTGGGCTTACAGCACTCTGTTTTCCTCCTCTGTTATTGTTGCTCTAATTATGAAATTATTTTTATTGCATTTATCTCTCTGTCCCTCCACCCCCAGCATTTTGGAGACAGACAGCAGGTCCCACTGCATGGGGAGAACAGCTCAGCCAAAGCTCCAGCACCCACATGATGTTGTTTTCTTTCCTCTACAGCTCTCTATGGCCCCAAATCTGAAGTGACTCAATACACACACGCAGGCCTCCTACCACAAACCATGGTGATAACAGACACAGCCAATCTCAGTGCCCTGACCAACCTGACACCAACTAAACAGGTAACAGCCTTTCTTTAGCCTCTGTTCCCTCTCCTGAGAGCTGCACCAGCCTGCAGGCAGCTCCTTGCATGCCAAAGAGCTTTTGGGTGTGTCTGTGCCATCCCAGCAGAAGCCTGTTTCTCATCTCCTGGCCCTGCTGGGACCAGCTGCAGCACTGGAGGCACCAGAGCAAGTTCTTCACTGCATCATCCAGGAGGATTTCACCTCCCCAGAACCTGTTCAATGCTTTTCCCACAGCTGTTAGAAGGCATGGAGAAGCCAGGCACTATTAACTCTCTTTTCTCCAGGCATTCACACCTGATTCAGAGACCCACACCGAGTCTGGGATGCACACACCAGTGTCACAGGCACCAACAATCCATCTACAGAACCAAGACACAACAATCCAGCACCTTCAGCCAGGCCCACGCCTCACCTCGAGCCCTGCTGGTAAGAGCAGCAGCCACTGTTGTGGCTCCTAAGCCATGTGTTGCCTAGTTTTTCTTGCCAACACTGTAAAACCCAGTTAGAAAATGGTAATTGGGGCTCTCAATTCCTTAAATTGGCTCTGCCAGTGTCCTGAGAGGTTTGAAAAGTCAATACAAGGAAAAGATTCAGAGCAGAGTCTGTGTAAGGCCACACTGTGGAAGTTGGCCCTTGCAGAAAGGCAAATACCTTAAAAAATATCAACAACAATCAGTGCCAATGAGTACCCAGTCCTGTGGGCAGCTTTCAGGGCTGAGAAGGCCAAGCCTCCCTCATGAAGACTCCTATTGGGTCTTCCCAGTTCTAAGAGGAGAACTAGGACATCAGCAGGAATTCTTAGAACTGAACTCTCTGGAGATTGCTGCCCTCAATGTTTTCAGGCTGGCTGTGGACTCAAGCCAGGGATTTAGCAGCACACAAAACACACAGACAAAAGCAGTTATGCCCCTAAGCCAGGAGAGCACAGCCATGCTGCAAATGGGGTGTACATGCAGTAAGGGGACTGGTGAGAATCTGCAATTGACTTCTGCCTGTCCCTTTGGCAGTGTCCTCCAGCAGCCTGGTGCTGTACCAAAGCTCTGACTCCACCAACAGCCACAGCCAGCTGCTGCCATCCCCTCACAACGCCATTGAGACCTTCATCTCCACACAGATGGCATCTTCCTCCCAGTAACCACCAGCAGCAGCTCCTGAGTGACTGCCACAGCCAACCTGCCAGGTGCAGCTCCAGCCTCACACAAACCCTGCTCAGCTGCCTCCAGGAGAGAAAAAGTCTCAGGCTCAAGACAGAAAAATGGAAAGATGATGCTGGCACTGCTGAAATCCACTGCCACCCCCACAAAAAAAAAAACCCAGCAAACCTTCACCCTAGCAGCCAGCCCAGAATGGCCAGACATCCTTTTGTGGCTGCCCAAGAAGGAATCCCAACAGTGCCAGGATGTGGATGGGACTTTAATTCACTCAGCCTTCATCAAGCTGGGCCTGTATGAACCTGTCAACACCAGGATAAATCACGTGGGAAAGAGCAAGGCTGGGCTGCCAAAGAAGGGACACCACCTTTAAACACTCTCCTCCTTTGCTGCAAGGAAGCACCAACAGGAGCTATAAGAAATAACAGAACCTTGGAAGTTCCTGACTTTGCAATGAGAATAACCAAGAAACAGATTTGGGAATGGCTTGGCACAAACCTGTCAGTATGGGATCACTGACAAGCTACAAATCCTTAATTAACTACCAAAACCCCAAACATTCTCAGTTAAAAATGACCTGCTCTAAAATCATGCTATCCTAGTGGAAATGGCTTGGTTGTTTTTGATATAGCTCTGCTTTGTTTTAAATGCAGAAATTAAAGTTTAACAGCTGCAAGGAGATTCCAGTTCTCTGCATTGACCCTGTGGGTTCTCATCTCATCTGATTTGCTGAATCATTTGCAGAATGGCATTTCCCACTGCTCCCTGACACTGCCCAGCCCCTGGGAGGTTCCCATGCTCCACACAGAGCAGAGGTTCCTTCAGTTTTCTCTATAAACACTCAGCCTGGATTCATTTTGCAGAACATGGCTCATTCTCAGCTTCCATGCAGGCTTGATTTGTAGCTCTTGTATGGAAATAACTGCCCAGAGCTCTAAGAGTCTTGCTTGCACTAAGTGAAGAGTCTTAGTCCCAAGGATCCACTTTTGTAATTCCTCTTCTAATTATTCCTCTCTATTTACTCTCAACATCCACATCACTGATACATCATCAGCCAGACATGAAAACAGCCCCAGCTCACAGGTTTTTGTCTGTGACTGAAACTGAGCACTCTTAACTGTGAAATGGATGAGAAACCTTGAGACTGGAAGGGAGAACTGAAAAAGCCCAACAGTGAACTCTGCAGTTATCATATCTGGGAATATCAAAATTGCAGATGTCTGTGAAAAGTTTCATTGATAAGAGCTTCCTCTAGATACCATCAACAATTTCAGTAACGAGATTCTCTGAGGGATTTTATCCTAGAATTATTTCCTAATTTCCCATGAACACCAGTTGCAAATATATCTAATTTCCAGTTAGCATAAAAATAAACCCAAACCAAAGCAAAAAGAATTGTTTAGGCCACCATGCATTTGAAAGCCCAGGTTTAAAATTCAGTACACTGAAGTTTTAACTGCACATAAGGCAAGGAACTTCTGCTGGCACCTTCTGTTAGATTATAAGCCAACTTTCTACTTAGCTTTTCTATTTTCGGATGCCAGCTGTGTTTTCTTGACTAAAAAGCAGCAAGAATCTTACAACAATTTCCCATGCTCAAAGAGCTACACTTCACTCTTTTGGTTTCTCTAATCTGGCTTTCTGAACTTCTGAATCCAGTAAGTTGGATTCCCTGAAACCCAGGAATTTTAAAAACATAAGTATTTATCAGTAACAGTTAATCTCCTGAAAGACTGGGAGGTGAAGAATAAACAGACAAAGAATGAAAACTACCAAACCTCACAGTATTTCAGGGATACTAAAGTCATTAACCAGCCCAAACAGAGACTGAAAGGTGGCTTAAGTCCCTCCTGTAGCAATTTCATAGCATTGATCATCCAGCAACCAAAAAGCCATCCTGAGCCACCTCTATCTCTGCTGGGGACAATCTGAATACAGCAAGAAAGCCACTGTTGTACAAAACCTTCCAAATTAAGCAGGTTCAAGAGTGTAGTAAAATTTAATAACAACAGATGCCATAAAAAAACCCTATACATGAAAAAAAAAACCATCAACAGAGACAAGTGGAACAGTAGGATGCATTCACACCAACCCTGAAATCAGCTCACCACACACTGCTCATGTGCAGGGTTCCTGGAGAGGTGCAGATTGCAGAGGGATTAGTAACACAGCAGGTTTCAAAAACAGATTGTTATGATGTTTGCAGGGAAAAAATAAGGGGCCCTGATTTCTGACAGGATGCTTTTGATAAATGAGTCTCCCACAGGCTGGAGCTATTCTTAGTAGTCTACAAGGAGGCAAAGAGAAAATGCAGTTGATCACCTGTTGCCATGTAAACCAAATGGAATTCATCTCACACTTTCTGCAGAAGGGTTTCAGATGTGAAGGGACAGAGCAGGAGGAATGCAGCTCTGAGCACATCCCTCTGCCATGCACGTCTGGCACAGCATTTAATCCCTTCATAAGCAGCAGCACAGCCAACTGCTGTGTGAGGAGAACAATGTTCCCTTCCTCGGGGACACAGGAGCACAGGAAGTCCCTTAATTAGTCTCTCAGGCCACTGAGCTTGCAGAACAGACGCTTTGCCAATTAATTTTCCCTCATCTGCAGCAACTCCTGTTGTTAGGTTTTCTTTCAGTTTCCTTCACCCATCACAACCACCTGCTGTTTGCAGAGCAAAATCATCATTCTTTTTTCTTCTTCTTTTTCTTCTTCACAGCTCCTGGCAGCACAGAGTTCTCTCTGTGATTGCTGTTCTGTCTCTCCTGCTGGCCATTTGCAGACACCGGCCGAGGCAAATCTTTGCAGATCTGGTCACACTCTGCTGGGTCTATTATTTTCTCTTGAATATTATTCTCTCTCCTAATTTTCTTCTTCTTCTTCTTCTTCTTTTTCTGGTTGGGCTCTACAGAGCCCTGACTCTGATCCTGGGACAATGCAGGGAAAGCACTTTGCTTCAGAATATCTGCAGCTGACACAGCAGCCTCCTGGCACCTCTGCCACTCTTGGTCACTGTCAGTGTCACTGCAAAGGTAACAAGAGGGAAGGAAGTTGTGGTGCACTTCTGCCTTGAATTCACCCAAAACTTGGACAGCAGAGAAATCTGAGATGAGAACACACAACAAACACCCAATGGCTCTGGGGCTCCCACACCTACAGGTTGCATTTAACCAGTCTGAAGGCCAATGTGTTCTTTACATACACTAGGAGGGGAAAGAAAATCCCCCACAAACATTTCTCATTCCCCAGCAATAAAAAAGAAACAAAATTCTGGTCTAGTCAAATATAAGAGTCATAAATACACACTTCTCAAGCTCTTCACCTTCCTATTCCCTTGTGGGAGTCCCAGCTGCCTGTGAAATGTGGGATGCAGCAGTACTGAGGAGCAGAGCAGCCTTCAGCACCTCACCTGGAGCTAACTGGCCTCCTCCTCCTGGCTGCAGGGCAAGGCTCTGGCTTCCCACAGTCTCCAGGGACAGAGGAAGAGAAGAGGCGAAAACCTGAAGTGTGGAAAGGGAGGTTTTAAGCAGAATATAAAACAGAGGGGGAAGCAATCAACTGCTGTTTCCCTGGAAGGCTCAGTGCTGTTTCTGTATTTCCACAGTGCTTGACAGCAATTATTTGGGAGGACTTGGGGCACAGAGGTCAAAGCTGCAGAGTAACAGCCCTCACAGACAGCACCACAACCCTCACAGACAGCACCAGGAATTCTTTCAGTGCAAATGTTTATTTGTCACTTGGAGGTACAGCTGGTGATGGACAGGATCCACCCCACCTGTCAGCAGTTAACAATCACAAACAGCCACAATGGCTGAGCCTGGAACTCACCATCATCCTCAGAGTCAGACTGTGCCAGTGAAGTCTGGGATGGTCCTGATGAGTCCTTCAAGACAGTGATGAAACTAAACAGAAAACCCCAGTCAGATCTCAGACAGGTTTGTGCAAACTGAGCTACAGTTGGGTATTTCTGGGAAACAAGACTAGAGGGAGATGTTGCATAGATCTTTTCCTGTTAGTGAGGCTGCCTCAGCTCCCTGTTTCCAGAGCAGAGCAGGCCCTCTCTCCTCAGCAGTGCAAGCCACAAGAACAGTTTAAAACCAGCATTTCTAAAGCCAGCTCTGAACAGCAGGAATTCCAGTTCTCCAGGGCCATACTTGCACAACAGACAGAGTGGCAGCCCAGCACCAGGCATTCTGCCAGCACAGCCCTGAATCAGGTGCTGGTGTAGGTTGTAAGAACAAAGCAGATTCTTCTGCCAGCCTTTACATGATGGAAGTCTCTTTTCTCCCCACAAGATGTTCACCACAGAGGCAAATGGAGACAAGCAGTGCTGCACAGAGAGTTTTGATCAGATGGGCACAGCAGATCAGCAAGGTTAGGTCACAGAATATTGGAAGTTTGTACTTAATACAGGCATGAAGGAGACAAGATGTTGAATTTCCTCGGTTTAGCACACAAACACATCAGTGTAACTGACCCACAGAACACAGGTTTCAAGCCTTGCATACCTGTCTAGCATGGTCCCCAGTTTCTTTGCAACGTGTGCTCTGAACTCTGGAGTTGTCTGGAGCTCATTGTCACCCTCCTGGCGGCCGATTGCCTCACGCCCGTTTGAAATAAGAACAAGGATTATCTCTTTTGAGGCCAGGAACATCTGGGCCTCTCACCCAAACCCTTAAAAACATAATTCTGTTCAGATTTAAACATCATTTCATATTATGGTTGGATTAATGCCCCAGACAAAAACTTCCCCTTTCAGTACAAAGTATCACAAGGTACAAAGTAGATGCAGCATATATATTACACATTAATTTTTTCTTTAGAGAAACATTAAGTCTGAAACCAAGAGCAAAAATACCTCAGGCTTGGCTGATCTTTAGGCTGCAACCGATCCTTTCTAAAGCCCCCTGAAAAGAAAGCAGCAAAGGCTCATTTAGAGACCTGCGGCCAGGACCTCTGTGACCCCCGTCAGGCACTGTTAGAGCACAGTGAGCAATGAACTCTGTATGTTAGAGCCTACAGAGCAATGCCTGCAAGGCAGCCCTGGGGAGCTGCGGGGGGAACAGCTGTGAGGGGAAAGGGGAACTTCCCTCAGGCCAGGACTGACGGGAGGGGGCTCTGGGCCCGGCTGGAGGCCGGACATGGGCTCGGGAAGGCCGGGCAGAGCCCCCTTCACTTCTGACACCGGCCCCGCGGCACAGAGAGATCCCCGCGGGTCAGGAGGAGCCGCAGAGGGGCCGGACCGGAGCGGCGGGGCGGGGAACAGAGGGGAGGGCACGCCGCAGCGGGGGAGCAGAGCCCAGCCTGTCCGCCGCCTCTCACCGCTGTGCGGCTCCGCCCGCGCCGCCGCCAGGGCGGGGCAGTCCCAGGCAGCCTCCCGGAACCGCGCGGCCGCTTCCCCACCGCTCTCCGAGTCCGAGCCGCTGTCGCTGTCCGGGCCCGAGCCGCCCCTGGGCGCCGCCATCTTGCGAGCGCGGGACACGCTGGGCGCTGTGGTCCGGCCGCGGAGCATGCCGGGAGCTGTAGTCCGGTCGCAAGGCATGCCGGGAGCTGTAGTCCGGCTCCCATAACCGACTTTCACAAACTCTCTCTGTTTTAATGAGCTTCTGGAGGATACGGTTCGTGTCCTTGGGGCCCTGATAACTTTCTAATCTGTTACTACACTGACATGAAAATTTTTGTTGGATGTAGAAGCTGACAGGCTGAAAACGAGAGAGCTGCTTTGTTGGAGATTTTCGCTGCTCTGCAGGTAGGACTGCTTTGTGTATTCCTACGTGCTGCTGAAAGCAGCAGGAAGACTCCGTATAAATGTTTTTGTCCTGCTGGATACCCCCTGGTTTGCACCTTCCAACCCTCCCACTAGAGCTGTGCAGGCTCAGGCCGCCTGGCAGCAGACACGCCACTGACAATATCCATGACAATATTAGGCTCTTTCTTGGCACTGGCTTCCCTTTGTTTCTTCACTGTTCCTTCATAAAATTCACCTTTTTTAGAGAAAGACCTTGGTTTAGGATTCACCCGTCCTCCACTGTGTAAAAGAACACGTAATTTTGGGCTGTCTTGTACCTTGGAGTCCTCAGAGCTGGAACAAACCATCCAGAAGAGCCTTCCCGGGCAGGTCACCTCCTCTCCCTCACTTTGGTCCCTCTGTTACTTTGGTTTCTCACAACTGTATAAATACCTTTATCAAGCTCTAAATACCTTTATCAAACTCTCTGTTTCCATCCTGGAGTTTCTCAGTTCAGATTCTTTCCATCCTGAATCTGTTTCTCAGCTCAGATCCTTAGCTCTCTACACTCGTAAGTCAACAATTTGCTTCCCTCAAACTTCCTTCCTTCCCTTTCCGTCCTTCCTTCCTTTTCCGTCCCTCCTTGCCTGTTCTCCCTTCCTGCTGGGGCCGAGCATTCGCTACGAATCTCTCGCAGTCCCCGCGGCCGCCGTTTGGACGCGGCCCCACCGCTCCGGGCAGCCGAGCCGCCCACGCCCGCAGAGCCGAGGGTCGCGGCGGGGCGGAGCAGCGCGGCCCGTTCGCCCCGGAGGAGCCCGAGGTGAGGAGGGGCCCGGCGAGCGGCTGTCGCTGCCCGCGGCCCCCCCGGCCCGGTTGGCGGAGCCGTGGCGCTCGGTGGGGCGGGGGCCGGGCCTTTCCGCCGGCCGCGCTTCCGGCCGGTCAGGTGACGGGGCCCGGCGGAGCGGCGGCTCGGCTCGGGCGCTGCGGGGACCCGCCGGTGAGCAGGACCGGGCCGGGCCGGGCGGGGCGGAGGGCAGTGGGGGCGGCCGGGCCGGGCTGCGGCTCCGAGGCCGGGCCGGAGCCGCCTGCGCCCGCTGCAGCCGAGCGGGGCGGGGACGCTGCGGGAGCCCCGGCCTCGCCCGGTGCCTCTGGAGCCGCGGAGCCCCCGGCGGGCCCGGCGCGGGTTCCCCGAGCTCCGTTCCGCGGGTTCCCCGAGCTCCGTTCCGCGGCCCAGCGCTGCCCGCCGGGGTTTGCCTCGGAAGCGCCGTTCCCGGGCCGCAGGTGCCCGGTGTGCGCTGCGCGGGGCCGGCCCCGCTGGCTCTGGCTCGGGGTATGGCGCGAGGTGTCAGCTGCTGGGGCATGACATTGGTTATATTTTGGGAATTGTTCATATATTAATGCTCGCTTCTTCTTAAATCACGTCTGTTGTATATAATAACTGTTGTATTTGATATTTTTACGTTTGCTGCTAACCTGGATTAGCCAGGCACGTCTGTCTCACACAGAAAAACCATGGGGCAGCATTACCCAACTGGTTATATTCCTTTTTTTTTTCCTTTGGACTTTGTGAGGTAAGAGGATAAAATCTTTGTTGAAAGATTCTTTTTGGAGTCTATATTAAACCTTTATGGAACTGATTAAAAAGTAAGCAATTGCTTTAATCGCTGGGGGTTTTTCAGTTTGCATTTACAAGGAACGCGGACTCCTCGGTGTTCCTGAAACACCTGAGCTGGGCCCTGGCAGCACTGCCTGTAACACAGCCGTGCATTGCAGAATCCCAGTTAATGAAACCAGGCCAGGCAGGGCTGGGAGGCAAATGGCTGCTTTGGCAAGAGCAAGGGAGCTCATGAATTCGTGTTTTGGGACCACTTTGTGGTGGTATTAAGAAGCAGGTGCCCAATGCTGTACAGCTTACAGGAGGTGGAAAGATGAACTTGAGAAATGTTTCCAAGGAGTTAAAATGTAACGTGTTTGGGGGACAGAGAAGAGTAAAAAAGTACTGAGAGATAAATACGTATTTAATGATTAACAACAGGACAGTCATGTGTTATTTAAAATATCTAAAATGACTGTCAAGAAGTCAGTGCACTTTCTTCTAGACACTGTCAGCAATTTTCAGCTAAGATTACCTGGTTGTACTTGAAGCCCAGGCAATTGTAATATGTTAAGTCTCAAGATTGTTAAACTTATGAGTGGGCATATTTTTATAAACTCTCAGTAGTAGTTTTAGATTTAAATTGAATTTCTAATGTGAATATTCCTTTTGTAAATATTTTTAAGTGTCAGAAAATGACACTATTACCTTAGGGATAAGAAAAATACGCTGACAGATCTTCTTTTTGATTTAAACTGTGAAAGGTTCAGGAACTAAATCAGAACTTGTTTCGTAAACAAACTAGATTTGGATTATTTAAATTTCAGTAATCTTAGCTAAAATAAAATTCATTAGGAAAGAAATATGGAAAAGGGTCTTTCCTGTGGAATTGACATCCAACAGTGCTGCTCTTGTTATTTCATTGTTTTGGCAAAGAGGAACAAACTTTGGGTTTTGTTAATAAACTAACCAGACTTCTATATCCTCACCAGAACTTTTTCTCATTGTTCATGGAAAAAATTAAATACTTGAGACATCCTCATGTCATGCTGTGAACACGTATTCCAGGACTGTTTTGTATAGGTGGAATTAGCTTCTAATTTATCCTCCCTCTTTGCCTTTCCCAGGTTGAATTAATGTTCACCTGCTGTTTCCAGCAGATTTTTTTTGTGTACCTTAACTTATGGTGAAAACTCCTAGGCTGTCCTGAAGTGTTTTTGCTGTGTTTTGAGGTCTGGGCAGTGAACTTTGGCAAATGCAGTCACTGGCTGAGTTCAGGAGTGTGATCTTTGACAGTACCACTCAGCTCGTGCTTTCCTGGTGAGCAGTAGATTTACAGGTGAAGTTTTTAAAATATTAGAGGGAAATTTCTTTTTTACTGGCTGTTAGTGAGATCTGTACCCAGCACATGGACATTCCCAGGCCCCTGCACTTACTCCTGCCGTGGATCTCCTGTGCTCTCAGCTGTCACCACACAATTCCAGCTCCTCTTGGAGCTCCACCCTCTCAGGTACCTCCACTTCCATGTCTTCATGCTCCGCCAGGTTTCTGTGTTTATTTTGGAAGCCTACTTGCAGATTAGTTCCTTGTTTCTTAACTGTTCATCTGCTGCCACTCTTGATTCTTGGAGGTAGTAAAGGTCAGTCATTTTTCAGAACAACCTGTTGGGATATAACATAGGGATTGTGGTTTGAAGAAAATAAACAGCTAATCTAGATGGCTTTTATGAAACAAAGATACCATTTTCCTGTAAATATGTAGAGAGCAAAGAAATAAGAAAAAGACAAGCTCTCTGAATGCCTGCAGTTAGGTATCAGCTGATTTTTATATCCTTTCCCTTGTTTTGTTTGTTGCTCATCATGCCTCCTGGGTTGATTTGGAGACCTGATCTGGAGGATAAGTTTGTAGCAAACCTTGACTGGCATCCCTCAATTGTGTTTACTTAACCCCAGAAGTCATGTTCTATCCCAGTGTATTCACAGTTTTCCTCCCAAACTCTAAAGCAAATTGAGAATTGGGTTGGTTTGGTCTGTTGTGTTAGTTGTTGATTTTTTTAGTTTGTGATTTGCTTATGGTTTGTTGGTTTTTTTCCCCTGGAGAGTTTTGTCTCAGAGTTCAAGAAGTTTGAGTGACTGTTCAATTTTGAGCTCATTCTGCACTCAGAACAAGTTCCATTTGCAGTTGAATTTGTACTTTAGAATTCAGAATACACTCACAAGCTACACAATATGTGATTATCAAATGTAAATTTAGCTCCTGGAAGCTGTTCCACATTTGCCTCTTTGTATATGTGCAGATGTACAGAGTCCAGCAGCACCTGTTACAGACCAGTTATGTTAAACTGGGATATTCCAGGGATAAAATCAAATGTGTGAGAAGGCTTTTATTATTTTTACTGTTGCATTTGGCTATGGTTTTGATATTTTACATTGGTTATGTCCTAACAGGTCACTGGGCCCCTTCAGCCAGTGAACAAATACTTAGGAGAGGATTCCCAGCAGAGATTAAGGAATGACCTGTTCTAGGCAAGGAGATTCAGTGCCTGTTGCATGATGTCATTTAATCTTTCTTCTGTCTCAGCCATCTTTATTCCATATCATTACTGATATCTCTCTGGATTTCTTTGTCATCCTTCTTCATAACATTTTATTTATTTGTTGTAGTTACTAAAACTGAGGGGGTTTTCAGTAAGTTTTTGTGGAGATACAGATTTTATCTTTTGATAAGTCTTCAGATTTATTGTGTTAATATACAGAATTTAATTTGGAAAAAGGAACTTTTTTTCCACATTGGTATTAGGGACTCGGAATTTATTTATTTATTTGCCTCTTGTACACTTCTTTTCCTTGTGTTACATGTCAAGCTGTTTCTTGTGACTGTTCCATAAAGGGATGCAGTATTTTTTACAGTGTGTTTTAAGGAGGTTTTCTCAATTTTTTTTACAGTTTTAAGGAGGTTTTCTCAATTTTTATAATAATATATAAAGGTCCAAGTTGATAAGTTTTCACTTCAACTACTGAGCAAGACAGGCTGAAGATTCTGGTTGTAAGGATGTGTGAAAAATCCAAGTGTCCTTGGCATACAGTTTGTAGGTTGGCAGCATTTCCATCTGCCTTGCTCTAACATAGATTTTAATTTTGTA